AAGGTTTTAAACTAATTTAGTAACACTTTACATTTTCTAAATTGTGATTCAGAAGGTTGCTCAGCAGGACAGAAGAACTCACCGTCTCTTGCAGCTGAAGAGATGCTGCAAAGCACAAGTTTTCTTGACTCCTGAAAACCTGTTTTTCACAAAGACCACATAAATCATTTGCACCTCCAAAATTACAAAAGTAAAAAGGCACTTCATCTTTCTGAGGTTGCTGACATATATACCTCAGGTAAGTGACATGGTTTATTGGGCTCATCTTCTTACTTCACTTGTCTTAGATATAGTTACATAGAAAATTCCAAATCACTCTTCCCTCTAAAGAAAACTTATATACAGACAAAACTTCATTGCCACCTGCCAGCCCGTTAAGGGACCGGGGGAGGGATTATAACCACTGTGGCTATTCCAATGGTTTGCACATATTACCTCCTATATGGTATTTTCTGATCAGAGAATTTCTATTATATACAGTCCCATTATCAGATAGTGGTTATTCTATTCTTTTCCACTCCAATGTTATATAAATAATTTTTAGTATCTCTTAAACATTATTCATTATGGTACAGAGACAACCCATAACTTGGATACCAACCAATCTCAAGAGAGAATGGATAAATAAAATTTAGCCCATAATCAAATCACATCAACACCAAAACTTATTTGACAAAAATGTTTGCTGGACAGTCATTATGTGACAGCTACAGTGAAACCTGTGGTCACCTTAACTCATTGCATTCAAACTGCTCAAACTATGAATAGGTCTTTTAAAAATATTCTCTAAATTGCTAACTTAGACGAACACTGAAAAAAAACCCAGTAACTTGATACCCTTCAGATAACAGTCACCTGGCTCAATAAACTTCAAAAAGCTCTGCACATATGCCATCAGGTTAATGGGGACGCCAGCTACCATTTTATGTGCATCATATTTATCCCATTAAACCATTCAGAGTTCTAAGAGTAAGTCCAACACCTTCCCCATGGTGCTTTTTATACATATCTGGGTGGAGATATTACCAACCTCCAGAGCCAACTGTAAGACCAACTTCATAAATCACAAAAGGAAGCTCACAGTATCACCTTAATGATACTGCCTACTGTCTGACTCCCCAAAATTTACTTTATGGCCTCAAACTGTACATTTGGATTTTTATTAATACTCAAATTATCTTTGCGTTGCTTGATGTTATACTTCCCAAGGCCTTTTATGTGCTGTTCTGGTGGGCATTATATGAGCCCATGATGACATTCCTACATCAAGCTGTCTGCTCAACTCATCAAAACAATGTAAGAGCAGAGAAAAATGAGAAGAGCTACAAACAAGAATATACTTTTCCAAGAAATATCCTTGGAGAACTTCTTCCAACCAGGCCCAACCACCTTGCAGCACACACATACAAACTGCACTTATCAATTCATGAATCAACAGAAAACTACAAACTTCATAGAGTTCAATCAAATTTTAAACACAAAAGATATTTGGGGGATCTTTCAGAAATAAACCACAATACCAGGACTGCACATGGGAGAGAAGTCAGGAAACACAAGACAGCACAGTGCCACTCAACACAAATGTCACACAGCCCCACCAAAACTGTCCAGTTGCCAGTACCCAATATGATGATAGTTCAGGAGCAGGCACTGAGCTGCCCATGACAGTGCTTTGGACATGATTAAGTCACTTTACTTGCACAGCACAGGATGCTGAGTGCCTGGCAGTTTCTCTGCCTCACCCTGAAAACCAGCAAAGAACAAGAGCATAAAAGCAACAGTTGACATACAAGAACAAGACTCCTCAGTTGATGCAGAGGTCTCGGTGCTGCCAAGGCTTCTTCTATCAATGTGTTACTGAGCTTATGGTTCTGCCACAGCCTCATTTCTGTCTTGGGTCACTAGAGCTTGCATACCAGCATTTACAGGATTAAGGATCCCTCAAAGGTATGCCCATGACAGTGCTTTGCAACCTGCCATCATTAAATGCCCATCAACCTTCCATCATTAAATGTCACAGAACCAGTCAGTGTGAGTCAGCTAGTGTGGCTTTCAGCAAGACACTGGAACTTCTGACTTGGGTTCCTGACAGAGAAGGATGCCTCTCTCTGGACAGCATGGCTGCTTGGACAGTTCACAGGGCACCAACCTTTCTTCACTGATGCACTGCTGCTCCATTTCCTGCCCTCTGAGCCAAAAAAGAACAAGAGAAAATATACACTACCTCTTTAAGATAACAAAAACCCTTTCTAACATAGACTTCCTCCTAAGAGACTGACTGTACCCAGCATGAGGGATCACAGCATTTGTTCCAAGTCCAGAGTTGCTACTATCTTCTTACTGTCCTCAATAGGCTCTTCCTGAATGTTGTCCCTGAAAGTCAGGTAGTAAGTGTACCTCCTGCACTTGAGCCTCAATATCTCATGGATAAAACTCTAAAGTGAAAAGAAGTGGGCCACAGGTCAGGGCAGGACACAATGGAATAGACAGAAAGATTTCAATTTGTCAGGGGATAGAAATTTAAATGAGGCATTTGACTTCTCTGTGCAGCCTTTCTCATCCCTTATCTCTTAATCTATTTATTTTCAGCAAAAAATACTGAAACACGAAAAAGAGAATATAATTATCTAATGCACAAAAAAACTTGGCATAATATGTTAACGGTATTCTGCAAAATGAATCAAGATGTAAGAAAAGGGATTTCAACTGCCTCAGACAAGCAATTTGCTTCATCCAAAATTATAAAAAAAAAAATCTGAATTCTGAGTACTGATCATGTTCCTCACCAGGAGGACCAGAATGATGGCTGAAAAGCATTATAACGCACAATCACTTCCTTATGACTAGGCCTTGTCACCTAAGCATTTCACAAAGTGAATCTCTACAGTATAAATTCCCCACCTCAGTTTGAAAGCCTTCTTCTTTCAACTCATTAATTTCCTCCAGGCAAGGGCTGAACTAGCATCTTGTGACAGGTCATCTTGAGAATCAGCCCAAATGGCTGGAGAGAGGGTGAGGATAATAGTAAAAGCACATGCTGGGTGAATGAACACACAATCCTAAAAAACCATCTGCATAGGAGATTCCTCTTTCCACTGCTATAATTATGGCACAGTCCACAATCCTTCTAGAGCTGCTCTACACACAGAGGCCACAAAAAGGAAGGTTGCGAGAAGGAAAAGTGCACTGACATTCCTTTGCTTGTCAATGTGGGCCTAAGCTTAGTCACTGCTCCTGTTGCTAAGATGTTATTCACCTAATTCAAACCAACAGTGATAAGTTAAATGAGACAAAGATACTCAGTCTTAATCTTTTATACTAAGCAAGAAAGGCCCTTATTTTGTTTTTTGTTTTTTGGTATCGGGCTTCTGACTTGTGGCTTGCGGGTTGCTCGGTTATGCTTTTTGGCTTTGTGCTTTGTCCCTGGTCCTTGGTTTTTATTTTCTCTCTGTTTTCACATGAAATAGAGATAAAATATTGTGAGACATTATTCCTTATCAGAAAACAGACACAGGGTTTTAACACAGTGGTAGAGTGCTTGCATAGCATACATGAGGCCCCGGATTCAGCCCTTATACTTGAATAAAGAAAGCAAACAATACGGCAGAAATGTTATTTTCATGTGACAAAATGAACAGATCAACTAATGAAATGTAAATTACATGGCAAGTATGTCTGATTTTGCAACACAAAATTTCAAAGGAGGACTCTAGGTAGAATGAAGAACCATACAAAATATGAAAATAGAACAAGGGAAAAAGTGTAAGAAAAACTAGAAATAAGTGGGCTGGGGATTTAGCTCAGTGGCAAAAGCGCCTGCCTGGCAAGCACAAGGCTGTGAGTTCGGTTCCCGGTACCGGAGAAAAACCAAAAAAAAAAAAAAAAAAAAAGAAAAACTAGAAATAAGAGAATACTCAAAAATAAAAATTTTAAGCAACATATATTAAAGTGACTTTCAAAGTATATAAAACTTTTTTTTTGGTACCAGTAATCAAACTCAGGACCTTGCGCTCGCCAAGCAGGCACTTATGCCACTGAGTTATATCCCCGGCCAGTATATAAAACTTAGGATTTCTGTTCATTAACATGCAGATAGAAAACTTATGAGGTTATGCTGATTCTCTATAAGTGGCAAAGAAATATCTCAAGAAAAGATTTTATTAAAAGAAAATTATACTCATCAAACTATGACAATATCACAGATGCAGATGATTTACAGAAGGGCTTATACAAGAAATGAAAAACCAATGCATAAAACAGAGGCATAAAAGACAAAAAAAAATGAAAAGAGGCAATTAAAATTCACTATGAATCCGTGACATTCATCAAATTAGAAAATGTCTAATGTTTGTTGGATATGAGAAATAGAAATTATTGTCTACTAGTAGTGGTCATATGCATGGTATATAGCAACATTTTAGATGGATATACACACTGTGCACCAACAAATAGGCTCCTGAATATCCATGGCATTTTCTCACATCTGTTTCTAGGGCAGCAAGAAAGATAATGTTCATTGCGGCATTTATACCAGTGACAGAGCTAGACCAGCCTGCTCTCCCATAACCCTGGAAAGGCAAATAAGACGTTATGAATGCAAACAGTGGAGATTCTGTGACGAGTTGACATGTACATACAGCAATCCAAATAAATCTGGAATACAGAACTAGGTGAATTAAGTAATACACAAAATAAACTTTAACACACTCCCATTTGGTCACACTAAAATACGTATGTACATGAGACTGAGGTATAGCTCAGTGGGAGAACACATGTTGCGTGCTCTCAATCTCTGGGCTTACACCAGGATAAAAAATGTACATGAAGCCATGGAGTATAATCCAGTAGTGATGAGCAAGGGCACAAGAGTGCAAGGAATACAAAACCACAACAGGGTCATCAAAGAGATCACAAGACATATTTGGGGCCATATTTCTTCCTATTAAGGGCCATCTGTTTTTACTGTGTGACACTGACCCACATCCCTGACCTCGTCCTACGAGCTGCTCCAATTCTTACTCATGCTGTGTTATGACCGTAACAAAAAAGTTGAGACACATTCACGTTTTCTGATGTTTTCGTTTTTTTTTTTGGTTTTTCTCTGGTACCGGGAACTGAACTCACGACCTTGTGCTTGCCAGGCAGGCGCTTTTGCCACTGAGCTAAATCCCCAGCCCCTTTCTGATGTTTTCAATGCCTGAAAATCACTGACTTAGCAGGTGCAGTGGCCAAATAAGCTGATAAATGACCAAGTACCTACAAAAGGCAACCGGAAACCACAAGAGCTGGCAAATCTCTAGCTCTGATCCCCATACTCAAGCTCAGTGACTCTCCCCAAAGTACTCTCTGTCTGTACTTGCACACTGTCTCCCTGTCCTTCCTACCTACACTACATTTCAGATATCACTTGTGTAAAGATACACAACAGGCTCCAAAGCTTGATGCCGTATGATGGCATCCAAAGACATGTAGAGACCATGTTCAAAGATGCTGTGAAATGAAGCTGTATGCTTTATCTACTGTGACCTCCACAGTAAGCCATTCCCATTGCCTTCTCCAAGATATCAAAATGGAAACTCTGTCCTCAAAGTGTGGGGAACACAAGAGATATTTAAAGGGATTTCAGGTTTGCAAGTTTTTGTCATTTATGGAACACAGAACAAAGGCTCAGGGTCATCTTTCCTGAGGGAGATATCAGTCACTGCAAGGGAGAAAGTTTTGGAAGTGATGGTGTTGCACACACCTGCCTTTAGGCCATCAAGATCATGGAAGTGAAGTTACAGTTGTGAGCAACCCACTGCAGAAAGCCAGATAATTATCCAAGGTTAAAGCAGTTAAAAGGGTTCCCATAATCTGAATAAATTAAAGCTCAAAATGAAAGTGTTTCCTCTTCAACCTTGCACATTCTTGGTGTCTTCTATTCAAAGTACTCAGCCCTGTGTCTGTCCAACGAAAACTGCCATCCTATTGTCCTGGTGATGTAAGATGAACAGTATGGTTGGAATAGGGCAGTTCTGCATAACACAGATACACACACACACACACACACACACACACACACACACACACACACTCTCTCTCTGAAAACAAAGAAAAACCCCAAAGTAGTGCTCCCATTTCCAAACAGTATTACACTGTTAACCTTATTCAATAGTTCATGGTTAGTACAGCATTCAAACCAGGAAATACGCATGGGTATGGTGACACACACCTGTAATACCAGCACTCAGGAGACAGAAGACTCCCTTGAGTTCAAAACAAGCCTAGGCTATACTGTAAATCATTTATCATTCACCCATTATGTACTGCTTCTGACAGAGCAGTGATATATTACTGTTATCCCAGATCAAACTTTGGCTGAGTTCAAAGCCAGCCAGAATTGCAAAGTGAGACCCTGCCTCAAAATAAAAGCTAAAACGAAAAACAAAAACCAGGAAACAATCTGGTGAGTGTCATATTCTACAGAGGGCTACATGAAATGTTGAAGGAATGAGTCTACAGATGCTACTTGAGTCTGAAAAGGGAAATATCTCAATGAACCCAAAAGAAGTTAAAAATAAAATATATTGAAAATGCCCAAAATGTACTCAAACAAGCAAACATGATTGCTAAGTCTTGAATCTTTTAAACTTGCTCACAACACAAATCTTGATCTATATTTGGGAGAATTTACATAACACAATGGCAAATTCATGATAAAACACTAAATACCTCACATACGTTTTAAAATATAGTACACTGTAAATCACTTTTTGTTCACCCATTATGTACTGTTTCTGACAGAGCAGTGATATATTACTGTTATCCCAGATCATGAGGAAATATTATACCATGTAGCCCTAGTGTGAAAAATGAATAAAATTCAACAGTAAAAGATTTGCAGCAGGACACAGTGGCGCACACCTGTAATCCCAGCACTGGGGAGGCTGAGGCAGGAGGATCCTTGCGAGTTCGAGACCTGCCTGGGCTACAAAGTGAACTCAAGGCCAGCCTGAACTGCATAGCGAGACCCTGTCTCAAAAAGACAAAAAAAAGTAAGATTTGCACTAAATAACTTCTTTTTTGCTTCATTGTTTTGGACACTTAACTCATGGCTTCATGCACATTACAGAAGTTAATCTCGAATGTTTATTTATTTCATATTGAAACAGGGTCTTGCTTAGTTAGCCAGACTGAGTTCGGTGATTTAATACTTTTGTCTCATTCCCACAAGTGGTTGTCAGTGATATTTACTTTATCGAAGCACTGAAGTCCTGCTGCATCATGGTGATTTAAGAACTCCAACCTTATACTGGTAAAGTGGCACATATCTGTCATCCCAACAATCAAGGAGGTGAAAAAGCACCACGGGTTTTCCACGAGTTGGGCAACTTAGTAAGAAGTGGTCTCAAAAACTAACAAAAATAAATAAAGATTAAAAATAAAAATTTGAGGGGATATAACTCAGGGCAAATTTCCTGAATCCAGTCCCTGTACAATAACAAACATCAGAAATACCTTCAAATCTTTTACATCAAGGAAAAAACCCCTTTCCCTTCCACTTCAAAGATGGTACTCATCCTGTTTTTAAACCTACAAGACCAGGATCATATTTTCCAATTTTGCCTCAAAAATGATAGGTGAGCTGATAAGTAGTCACAGAAGAAATATTTTCCATTCCCAAATTCCCTTTCTTTCTTTAAGCCTGTGACCTATGAACTCTCCGACTAAGCCAGCAGATAATCCTTCATTTACTATCACACTAAGAAAGATAAGTCAGGAGAAGTTTACGGTTGCAATTGCTGATTTTCCCCACCCTCCAAAATCCCCTGCAGTCCCATTTCCTTTTTTACTTCTCTTTGCTCTTGCCAATTCAAAAAACCTTTTTATTCTAGTCATTCATATGACTGTAGATCTTAAGTATGAGAATTTACCCCTACTTAAACGCCTCTTGTATAATGTTCATCTCAGTGTTCCAATTTTAATACAATGTCTAGAAACAGTCCACAGACTACATCAATTGTTTCAGAGATAACACCCGATTCTTTTTCTTTCCACTCATACCAATATCACACACACACATCCCTGCAGATGCCCTAGTTCAGTCCATTTCTCAGGTTGAGTTCAATAGGGAGCCCCTTTGGAACTTATCCTCAGTAGCAATAGGTCCCCTTCCCTTCCCAATACATTAACATCCCCTCTTTCTCAGCATTCTAAATTCTATTGAAACCCTCACTTAAACATTCTAATTGTACAGAATAGTTTATTTAGTTACTTTATAAGTACGGCACTTACCTACAAAGGGTCTGAAATAGAGTTGAAAATTAGCCATTCAGTAAGAATTAAAATAAGAATAGACACAATGACTTAGGACTTTGAACCAAGACAGAATTTTCTGCCCAAGAAGGAATGCATCCCCCTCCCTACTAAAAGGAGTTTCAGCCAGGATCTACTAAGCTCCTGCATTTCCAGGAACTTAAAATTAAAAAAATAACTAGTTCTTCTCTAAAATCCATTTCCTTTAAACCTTGGACACTGAGAAAATTGGTTCAGTGATCCTGAGTTCAAAGAGGTTGTTTTAAATCCCGAGATACCTGTGATAGGTAGTCACTAAAAAAACTGGGCAATTACTGTGTTGCTTATCTATAATTAGCTCTGAATTGAGCAGTCACATGGTCATTCACTCAGGAGACTTCCTGGAAGTCAGGGAGTTCTTATCCTCTAACATCCTCCTTTGGTTCACCATCTCATTTCTCAATATTATGAGTACAAGATGTCGGTCCATGCAGTAACAGTATCTGAGTAGACGGCTCACATCAATAATTAAAGTGGTAATTGTTTTTTATTGCCGTGCACAGAATCCAGGGTTTCCACAAAGCTCCAGATCTCCTCAGACTGTTGGGAGATGCAGCTCTGCCTGGAGCCACCCAAGAAAGCATTCACAGTGGGGACTGTATGCTAAGGAACAGAACTCTCCCTGTCTGAGCAAAGCAGAAAAGGGGCCGATGATGATGAAAAGCCAAAGGCTAGGAAGACCTCAGATTCTAGAGCTAAGCCAACGCTTGCCATAGCCCATTTTGGCCCTTTCCTTCCAGAACTCATCCAATTCCATCCCATCCATGCACCCATCCCATAACATCACCATTGTGTGCCTTGAGGGTCTCTTAGGATTCTTGTGACACAGGTTGCAGCCAGAAGTTACAGAAAATGGTAGTCCAGTCAGGTGGAAGCTCTCAGCAACGAACCTAGGCTATCGCTTCGGTGCCGTGACACAGGAAGTACCCTCCTCCCTCACATGGCCTGATTGGGTAATTCATACAGAAAATGCCTTCCTTGCTGATTGGCTCCTGCTCCACTGTGGGCTAGCTGAGCAGAGAGGGACAAGAGAAACAAACCTCTTCCACCAGGAGTAAAGTTCAGATTATGAATTGTAACCCAGGAACTTCTGGCCCAGTCCATCTCGCAGGAAGTCCATCTCACCTAACCTGAGAAATACTTGCATTTAAGGCCTTTACTTCTGGCTTTTCAAAGTTCCTAT